TACTATCAGTGTCCTGATAAGTTTAGTGTCCTTCACCTGTACCTGAGAGAAATTTAATTTTATGCTGTGAAATACTATCAGATGACAACCATTCTGTTACCAATCAAGAAGAACAAGAGTATACAGCATAGAGTTTCTCCTGATACCCAAGTGAAAAAGAAAAAGTGATTAGTCAAAAGGCTCATCTCCAATTTCAGACAAGCAAGAAAACAATTGTTTGAATCTCTCCAGGAAGACACAGAGAATAATCACAGATTTCAGTGCCCCTTAATATCATCTTTTTTCCCTCAAAAACTATTGGGTAGAAGGGGTTGGGATAGATCTTGTAATGGTTCAAATACATAATTAAGGGAGAGAATTTTATGGTCGAGTATTAAAATGGCTGAGACTAGCGTTGAAAGAGTTCTTGCCTTTGGAGGTTTAGTTTGGGCAATGTTTGTTCTTTTGACACCATTTCAATTAAAGGTCTTCTGGCACCATCGTTGATAAGGGCATACAACTTGATGCAACTTTCAAGAATAGGTCTTTAGACCTATATGCTGTTGCAATAAACAAAGGTTCTCACATTTTACTGTGGAAAATCTGTAAAGATATACTCAGTTATCCCTCACAAATTTAAGGTAAATGTGAGAGGGAGAGATATAGGAGAATTCTACCATGATTAGGCAATATGCCTACTCCATGGAACCACCTACAAAATTTTTTCACTATTGAAAAACTAAATTTTTACAACTAGCATCTTTCCTTTATGCGGTGAAAGGAGAAAATCTAAAATTAAAAGTATATCAGTGCAGTGGAAAAAAAAAGGCATTTGGATCCCTAGTCCTAAAAAGCAGCATACCATATTGCAGGGCCTCCACCACCCAGAGACCAAACAAACCCAGAATTACCGTACTAGATATGGGTATTACCAATCCTGAACTGATCTGAACAATGTACAAAGAATATTGACCCATGGGACCTGAAGATCAGACTAAAACTAATTTGGTGCAGATTGGACTGCACCAGTTTTGACCAGTTTGGTTCCTCTGAACCGAAGTTGACCATTTTTATTTCCCTATTTTTAGTTTATCTTTACCCCCTCTAAGGACCTGTTTATGATTAATGAAATCAATAAAACAAACAACAATCCATATTTCTGAAATTTTTCATTTTGAAAATATTAATTGTTAACTTGTTATTAAAAATAAAATATTAAATTAATTTTGAAAAACAAAAAATTAAATTTCATCAAGTTTTCTGGTTATATATCACAGAAGGAAGACCAGACTGAACTGGACTACATTTGGTCCTACGACAAGTCAATGATTCATCATCACTTTTCTTTTGGGGGGAGAAGGGGGAGAGATGGGGTTGCTAGCACCCGCTTTCCCAAGAGCCTTTTGTGGATAGTAATCCCTCTAAACTAAATGCGAAGTTTCTTTCAAAGACCGTGCCAATAGTTTCTGCAAATAGGAATATTAATGACTAGGAGGAAGCTAGTATGTAAAAGATTTTGCAATAATTTCATAGGTGAGTATTGAATTAAATGTATTATTAGCATCTGATATCCTCACAAGAGGTCAGCTTTGACATTTGTGCAAGAGTCTTTTGTTCTCTGGGATCATATCACCAACAGCCAGATCCATTAAGAATTAGGGCTGTGGTACACCTAGAAGAGTATTAGTGGTGAAAAGAAACAAGTGGGTCTCATTCCCCTTACTATATTTTGGGTGGTGTAGAAAGAAAAAAACAGAAGAGCTTTTGAGAGGATCGAAGATGATTTCAATAGGGTTGGAGATAGATAATTCCAAACTCTTGGCATTTTGTTAAGGGTCGTCCTTTGTATTCTTCAGAGGATTCTGGGGATCTTATTGACATCCTGATTGACTTGGAAATACTTTTGTAGTTAGATTGGTATCCCCTTGGTGCTTGTAATTAATGATACATACCATACTTTTTATTTCAAAAATAAAGTATAGGTTTGGTACACCACTCAAGCATCTCAAGAGCAGATATAAGGCATTGCTTTCCTAACTCCTGATATTATTTGTGATTTGAAATGAGAGGAATAAGAGGTTTGACAGATTTTCACAGTTGGTTTAAAAGATGATGGATTCTTGCTCTCAAGTTTAGGTTTAACGGGCATTCTTTGCAAGATGAGGAAGAGCTTATACATCTTTGGAACTATCATCCTGTAATTGAAAGTTTTTACTGCATGCTCTCCATACCCAGCACATTGACGGTACCCCCTGGGGTCCAGTGAACAAACTTTCTTCGTGAAAAATAACTATTTGAATTCAGTGGCAATCCTAGTGATGTTTACATCAACACTTACATTTTCTATCAAAGAAAACTGTTTGGATTTCAATATCCTGTTAGTAAGCAGTTTAAAACTTAACTTGACCAAACATTCAGAAAGTACCGCAGCATAAATTTTTAGCTG